CTTTGGGTAGAATATGTAGGCACGAAATGGCAGATAGGGACTTAAAAGGAACCGCAAAGAAACAAGTCAGGAGAGAACTTATAAATGTTAGGCTGATTTATAAGAGCTGCTCTGGGCAGTTACAGTTTGTTTACAGTGAGGAGTTATCTAACTCTGAACATACTGTAGATGGCAATCAGAACTCATCACAGCAAGAGAACCACAGCTGGTCTGCTGCAGCCAAAACAAAAAACCACCAGAGAACAGGAGGGGAAATGTCAGGATCAAGGTAGGTTTTTTATTATAAAAGAAAAAGATAACTCCTCAGCAACCTTAACACAGGAAAAGAGTATTTTGGGAGAAGACAACAGGATACAAAATCACAAGTGTTTTTGCCACCAGCCCTGTCTCTGTCTCCTCCAAGTGCAGAGGGTAAAGGACACAGTTGAAGCAAATAAGCAATTATGTAAAATTACTTAGAAACCCTACAAATTTGATTAAAATCTAAACTTCTATTTTGCGCTTAAAAATTTTTTAATATATCAAAAGGCCTGCTTTAGTGACATGCTATTCCCACCAGAAAATAACCCTAATATGTGTATATCCCCTCTGTCGGTAACATGCTCAAGTTGACCAGCCAACTCATTTCTAAAAGTGTGTGGACAAGTACATGTATCTTGTGAAACAGAGCCATGGCCATCAAGTGACTGCTAGTTAGCCTGCATCCACCTGTCAATTCACTAGCGCCCACTTCCTCTGGAGGGTGGGCAGGGCAGAGACCCTGAAATGGTAATGAGGAATTAACCCCCAATTACCAACTTTCTAAGCACCACTTCCCCCACCTCCTCCTCAAAAGGAGATACTTCTCTTTCTTTACTTTGGCTCCCTGTGACCCAGATGGTTTTCACCTTTCGAAACACAATCCACACCCATATATATAATTTTTTTGTTTTTACATTTAAATATAAAAATACTACTCTGCTTTTTGTTATAAAGGAGGACAAAGCAATAAGACCCTTTTCTTCTTTTAAGGTAGGGATATCCATCAGTTTACTCTGAGCTCTTTGCTGAGGGGAGGGCATTTAGCCCCAAGCAAGGGAAGTGTGGCCTGAGATGAGGGCATTTCCCTCCCTGATCTCCAACCTCTATTTTCTCTAATTCCCACTTACAGTAGAATGTTGGTTATAATCTCTTCCAACTTTCCACCAAGGGAAGTCCTAACCTAGAGTAAGTCAGGTCTTCCCTTTTCAGCTAACCTGAAGAAAAAGTCCTCTCCCTCCAGCAGATGTGCTCCGCCCGGATAGCTATGCCTACTGGACAAGCTCACCCCATTAAGTGGAAGTAGTGGTTATGCCCCTCCCTGCCCACTAGCGCACTAGAAAGCTTCAGTGATAGGAGAGAAAAAAAGAGGGTGGGTGCAAAGAGATTAAGAACTTGACCCCTCCATCTTGGCCAAAGAAAACAAGATTAACTGGGCATGAGGAATAAAAAAAAGACCTTGATATTCCACCCTTTTGAGTTACAATTGGGACAATTGGGGGCGGGGGGGATTTGGAGTGGGATGAAGAACCAGAAGGGGCTCAATAGCTGGAAGTCTAGTCCATTTAGTTTTTGTACTGGAAGGGCTCGTCGCCAGTTTCATTGAGAAGACACGTGCGGATGAGGGCTTCCGTCACCGAGAAGGGGTCACAGTTGGCAGAGGGACGACGGTCTTCAAAGTAGCCCTTCTTCTCCTGGCCAACAGTCCGGGGAATGCGGATGCTGGCACTACGGTTGGCTACACCAGCGGAAAAGTCGTTGATGTTGGAGGTTTCGTGGAATCCAGTTGGGCGCCGGGCATTGTCCAGGCCCCCCTTGGGATCGTAGGCGCGAATGTGGTACTGGTGCCGCTTGCTTAGTTTCTCAATGGCCTCCTCAATATAC